AAGACCATGTTTGGAGTTTCAATAGCTGGGTGAGAATGACTTAAATTCAGTGGGAACTGGGAATTGTTGCAGCAAACATCCAAAACAAGCCGTGGTTCAGTCTTTAAACTTGGGCTGCAGTAAATTATTTTTGAAAACCATTTTAAGATCTGAAATTGATTTTATATTTAAAATGAAACCCTGAAGTTAATTGTTTTTCTTTGCTTGACTTAGTTGTAGGTTTTATTACAAGTTTAGTGCACCTGGAAATACCTCCTGACATAGGGTTTTGAAAATAAAATGCTGTGTAACATTATAGCCTAAACTCAGCTACACATCTGTGCACTTTGTTTAACTATTCCCCTGACCTCAACAGGGTGTTGTAAAAATAACTGCACTGAAGATTGTAAAATGCCCATATATTGTGGTAATAGGGGCCATGTAAGTACCTGAGATAAATGGATAGACAGATAGCATTATTACATTAGAGGGTTCTTTGAGAACAGTAACCAGATTAAGTGCCAGTGTTCTCCTGTGTAGCTATGTTAATTGCCAATTTTTGGCAGTTGCACAGGTGCTAATTACTTTTTAAGAGAACCAAGGGAAGAAAATTTTCCACTAGGCTTTTATGGATAATTATTGCATTTTTTTCCCTTCTAGGAGCTTGAAAGTTTGCTCTTAAGAGTATCCACTGGATCTGTCTTCTAGATAAATGGTAGCATTACAGCACATGCAAGATTGCATGCTGTAGCCTTATACCATCCCTGTCCACTTTTTAGGTGATACCATTTACGATCTACTCCCTTAATGAACAGAGAGTTTATACAAATAACACATTAACACATTGCTTTGTCTTTCTCAAACGCATTGTGTTTCTACACAGTGCGCTAGGTAACAGCCACATCTGTAGAGACTGTCCACTGTACTTGGAACTTTTGAAATGAAGCCTCGTGACCATGCTGAATAAATAAACAGGAGTGCTAACATTTAATGCACTAAATTTGCCAGAGTCTTTTTCTAAAGGTTTCCAGGATTTACTCTTTCTATGGCTCATTCTCTTATTATGTATTAATGTTGTGCTCAAAATAAAAAGAAAATGCTGTACGACCGGTCTCAGAAAGACAACATCCATGTAAGATGATAAACTTTAAGTGTGTCATTTCAGTTGGTCTGATATGGTATTGACATCACCTTGCATCACCCTTCTGTCAAGGGTTTGTTACAGTTCATTAGGATTTTAATGTAACACTCATCTGTCATAATACTTCATAAACGAATAAGCTCTGCCTTCTCTGTGGTAATGAGTTAGGCTGAACACTAACTTTTTTGGCTGCAAACCACACTGTGGCTTCAGTATTCCCCATTCACTACAAGGTAAAATAGCAAGTTTTCAACTTGAAGGACAAGACTTACAGATTTGAATAGGCATGAGGGTTTGTGTTGGTCAAAGTTTTGTAGTTTGTCAGAAATTAATTAAGATAATAGGTGTATGTTAAAACAAGAGTGTTTTGGTGGGCTATGGGCAGGTAGGGACAATGTGCCCTAAAACATCCCCTCTATAGGGATTGATGCATTGTTCACTAAGGTGTTTGTGTGTCCAACATTCACTTGTCCTGTATTTGGCTCTAAAATATGCCTCTGACAAGCCTGGTCCTGTTTGAAAGATTACTAGAATTTGAACAAAACTTTTTTGTATTTTTCTTGAAGTGTTTAATGAAATAATTAGCTAACCACTAGAAAAAAACCAAACAGGGTAGCAAATGTTTGTGTTGGAAGTAATCATAAGGATTTTGTTCTTGATGTAATAATTTGTAATAATATGTAATAATTTCAACCTATACACCTAAAGTTTTAAATTACATCATGATATGAAATGATCACAGAGTAGGAAATCTGTGTTTTAATTTAAAAAATAATTTAAACATTAGCAATTGCTAAACCTGGTTGAAGCTTTGAGACTAATTGAAAAGATCTTTTTAGTGTTTGTGTGTGTATAAGGATAATGTTCACTTCCAAGCCATCTCTATCACTAGGTGATAGACTAGTCAGTATCACAAACCTTCCTTTTACAAGTACTTCACATGGCATTCATTCACACATTTCAAGGAGTTTAAAACTGCAGCTCCTTATGGTTTTAATCCAGATGAAAAATTTTGTTGTTCTTCTAAAACTTAAATAAATAAAATTCAAGTTACAAGGTTTGTTGTACTTTCTGAACTCTTTTCCAGAATGATATTTTAATCAGCTTGTATTGAAGTATTTTATTTGTTTTGTAAGGTAGTAATTTATACAGGCACAAACAAATGAATAGGTGAGAAAGGACAGAAGCAGCACTGAGAGAAGAAGCTTTTAGGGAATAATTAACAGCTGGAATAGATGGAGGATGGCAGAAACATCATCTGTGACCCTCAGCATTGGGTGTAGCTAAGCTGACTGGTTCCCTCATCTCCTAGAGGTAGAAATTACTACAGATGGTTTGAACACATGATGTGAATAACCTATGCAAGACTGTTGGGAAGATGATTAGATTTTAAAAGTGACATTTTCCAAGACCAGGTAGACATGAAACACAGAGAAAGAAACAACCAACACCTGTAAAACAGGAGGATGCAAGAAGTCCAAGTAACGAGGACAAGGAATGACACCCCTTACACTCTACATTTGATAACTCCCATTAACACCTGGCTGTTGGATTAAATAGCTAGCACAGGGAGCAATAATGGGGTAGTCCTTGGCAGCTATCTTTTCTCATAATTCATTAACAGAATATTGCAGAATGGTGAAACGTGAAAGTTCATTCATCAGAATAAAATTCTGACCATGTAATCATTGTCCACAGGTGGATGTAGTCCAAGGCATTCCTTTCAGTTTCAAGCTCTCAATTCATAGACCTTGTTAAACTGTTAGAGCCATCCTCCTGTACATGATCTGATCTCTTGATACCACTGTTCTGACACTTCTGCAGTGTTCGTGGGGAGCAGGAGTACATCAGGAAATTTACTAAATATGCTTTCTTATTTAAGATTTTAAATGTTGACTTTCCATTAGTGCATAAAGGATTTTGTGATGGATGTTTGGAAAGTGGGATTCTCTACTAGGGTAAGAAAAGCTAGATGTGCAGAAGGGTCTTAATTCTGTACCATAGCCCGCAGTGTTTCAGAAATGAGTTTGTCATTAATTTGAAGCTGGATTCAAAGCCAGTTCATTCTTAACTCAAATGGACATATGAAAGAGTTTGTGGTTCTTAGCAGGAATGATTTCTTACCAGTGGTAAAATGCTGCAGTTTCATACATGGAATTTTAAGCTTATAAGTAACATCAAAATAAGGACAGTGGGTACATTTCAGTAATTGACACAGTTTCCTAAATCTAAGTCTGTAAAAGCTGACTAGACCCCCACCAACATAGGAAAGGCTAAACAGGTGTGCTAAGTTTAAGGAAGGTCTAATGGTGGTGCTAGAATTGGCTAGGTTTCTGCTTATAGAGAGACTATAGTCTCCTCTTCTTTATTACTTTTAATAAACCTAAAAAATTATTAGATATAAATCTGGTGTTTTTTGTTTGTTTGTTTGTTTGTTTTTTTACTTATAATTTCAAGTAATTTGGAGAGAAAATAATTAAAAATGTAAAATTGTTTTGCGGTCATAAGTCATCTTTGATGGTTCAAAATCTATGTTTCTTTGTTTGGTTTTGATGATAACCAGTTTTGTAAAGAGGTATTTACTTGTGGACTGTTCTTTAAAAGACCCTTAATTAGATGCAATATTCCTAATTTTATCTCATTAGGTGCTGAATAAGTTTGTCTCCAGTGACCATTTAACTGCCTGGATTATTTAGGTTGTATTCTTACTCATTTGACTCGTGCCTAAGATAAGAGAATTGCAATGGCTTTAGAGGTTTCTGATTTAATGCCAGTTCAGTTTTAAAGAAATACTAAAATTAGTTGAGTCCATGCTTTATAAAATATGGACCCACTGAAAACACAATAATTTATTCCAGAAACCTTAAAATAATAAGAATGCTATTAAAATGCTTTTCTGGGGGGTTTCTTTCAGATATAACTGATATGATTGACAACAAGCTTTTGTGGGTTTACCTTGGGTAGCTGCCAGATTCCTCCCCAGCTGCCCTATCACTACCCCTCCTCATGAGGACAGGGGAGAAAATAAGATGACAAAGCTTATGGGTCGAGATGAGGACAGGGAGATCACTCAACAGTTACCATCATGGGCAAAACAGACTTGACTTTATTTTTCTGATTAAAAGTAGAGTAGGAGATTGAGAAACAAGGGGAAAAAAAACCTACAATACCCCTCTGTCACCTCTCCCTTCTTCCCAGGCTCAACTTCACTCCTGACTGTTCTACCTCCTCACCCCAAGCGGTGTAGGGGGATGGGGAATGAGGGTTGCAGTCAATTCCTAATGCTTTGTCTCTGTGCATCCTTCTGCTTTACGTTCTTCTCCTGCTCCAGCATATGGTCCCTCCCATGGACTGCAGTTCTTCAAGAATTGCTCCAGCTTGGGTCATCACCAGGAGGTGCAGTCCTTCACAAAAAGACTGCTTCAGCATGGGTCTCTTATGGGTTACAGGTCCTGCCAGAAAACCTGGTCCTCTGTGGACTCCTCTCCATAGCCTGTAGCTCCTTCCAGGAGGAAGCCCACTGGCGTGGACTTTGCACAGGCTGCAGCTTCCTTGAGGTCATATCCATCTGCTCCAGCATGGGGTCCTCCATGGGCTGCAGGTGGAGATATGCTCTGATGTGGTCTTTCATGGGCTGCAGGACAATGTGCATCACCATGGTCTTCTCAGCTGTGCCTTGCAGTGGGGCCATTGGAGCTGGCTGGAATGGCTGTGTCTGGCACAGGGCAATCCTGGGCTCTCCTCACAGGGACTACTCCGCAGCCCCCCTGCCAGCGCCTGGGTACCTGCACCCAACACAGAAGTCTTGTTCCAGAAAGTAAATTGGATGGGGAACAGAAATGGAGTACACCTTTGATTAATAGGACTTTTTTTTTTTCCTAGGAAATCCAGATGCTGAAGGCAAGACGTGCTTGTCATAGTTTAGGAAACATGTAACTCTCTTCTATACTTTTAAGTTCCACTGATGACTTTGGAATAGGTGAGGTTGTATTTTTTTTTGCGTAAGGATTCTGGTTTTATGTGAAAAAAAAAAAAAAAAAAAAAAAAAAAAAAAAAAAAAAAAAAAGACTCATGTCTTATCAATGAGATGCACATTTGTTTGCATTATTGTAGTGTATTTTGGATCTAATTCAAAACCTCAAATAAAGAGGCTGTAGTATCTTTCCTTTGCTTTTGGTTTCTAATGGAAAGTCTGCTAGGTGAGTCACTGAAGAGTGCAAGTTTAATGTGTGATCAGCCTGCTAGGCTGATACCTGGCACATGCCTTTTGGTGTGATTCAAGTTTGGTTTTTTTTTTCCCCTGCCCCTTCATCTGTAATACTGTTACAGCAAACTTGATAATTTTTGCATAAACAGTTTATTTCTTCAAATTTGATATAATGATAAATGTTTTGTCGGTTAAAATGCTAATAAATGTTCTGGGTTCAACTAGGATGGGGCTAATTTTCATAAAAAGCTAGGAGGGGACACAGACAGAACATGTGACCACACTTTAACTTTTTTTTTTTTTTAAATGCACAGTGCATTGGACATCTTAAGTGTTACACCAGTTTCAAGTCCAAGATTAGGCATTTTGTTTTAGATTGTCATAGGTAAAGGGGTAGGTCTGGGTGAATGCTTTGTTACAGCTTCAGGGAGACATTTTAAATTTCCTTGCAGGAGCAATTTGCAGTTCTGATAGTAAGAGCGCTGAATTGTCAATGCATTGTGATGGCATTTACCCTGGGAGCAAAGAGACTTTGTTAGGGCATGAAGCTTATTCTGACTTTCCTGAAATACAGTCCAGTCTCCAGAGATGGAAGATTGTGGTTATTTGTACAAAACTGCTCTTTTAACAGGTCCGATGGTAACAAGCTAAAATGAACATCCTGAACAATATCGTGTTAGACGAGATGTCAGGGAGCATTTCTTTGCAGAAGGGGTTGTTAGGCGTTGGAATGGCTGCCCAGGGAGGTGATGGAGTCCCCATCCTTGGAGGTGTTTAAGAGTCGGGTTGATTTAGCGCTTAAGGAGATACTGTGGTTGGGAACTGTCAGTGCTAGGTGAACGGTTGGACTAGATGATCTCCAAGATCCTTTCCAATCTAGATGATTCTGTGATTTTGTGATTCTGTATTCAAAGTATAAGAAAAGAGACGACAACTTACAATAAAGGAAGGAGAAGCAATATTAATTTGGTTGTGTCACACTTTTTTCCAAGAAGGTGATTTTTAAATTATTTTTGTGTGATTGATAATTGACTGATTTTTAAAGACCCCTAACGTAAGCATTGAAAGGGACAGGTATCTAAGGCGGCAGAGATATGGAGAACCTACAGCTAAGGCAAAGTCAGAAAGTACAATGCAGAAATTTCAGAAATAGACGACATGGCAGTTATAAACCTTAATGTGTATAGACTCTTTGAGTCCCTTCACTTGAGAAATACACACAGAGTGTTTTATGTTGAACAAATATGCTGTTTTGTATTCATTGAATGTGTTTATCTTGTAAGCAGGTAGATACTACAGCATGGGATGAGGAGAATGAAGTGAACTGGACTTGGCCTTTTAAAGTTCTATATGTGAAATATTTTAGTTCTCGAGCAAAAAGCAAAACTGAAAGCAGCAGCTGAGAGAGTCTCTACACAGCTGCCTAATTTTGCTTCAGGGCAGCCATGGCCTGCCACCAGGCTTCCTAGGTTTTGTGCAAGTATTTACATTGGTGCTTAGAACAAAATACCACAGGCTGGGAAGTGGAATAGACTGTCAGTAATTGGGTAGTGAAGGGAAAGAAGTCTACCTGTTGCTTCCACAAGTACTTTGTGATTCAAATTGTTTTATATTATTTGGTTATTTATCAGGACCATATTGTACCAGATATTGTAGAAGCATATCTCTAGTGGTTTGCAGTGTAAGGATAAGACAAAAATCAATGGGTATTAACTGGAAGTGTAGGAAAACAGTATTAGTCAATATTATTAGCTCAGCTATAACTTTTCACATATTTTTTAGGAGGAGATAGAAGGAAGATAATGGTTTTCTGCAGAAATATCCACCCTACCTCTGTGAGATATCATTATAGAAAGCTCGTAAATTTTCACTTGAAAATTTAATGCTGTGGGTTAATCATGGATACTCTGCTATTGTCATTCCTCCTGCAAGACTGACTGAGAGCACGCAGAGGAGGATGGGGAGGGAAAAGCAAAGCAGGCAATGCTTGAAAAGGTGTTCCAGTAGAGATGAACCTCTTTGTCAAAAAAACTTGTTAGGTTAGTCTCCTTTACAACAACATTCTGTATAGTTCTGGATGAGGCAAGTTTGTCTCTCTCAAAGCCTGAGAAAAGTATATTGCAGTAATCTGTACAGTTGTTGGTGACTACACTCTCCCTTAGCAGTCGCTGGTATTTTTCATAAGACTTCTACCATCAGAGCATAAAAATATTTTTTTGCCTGTAATGATTATGAAAACTGTTCAGCAGAGTGCATGACCAAGAGTGCCCCGCACAATACATGGATGATATAGATCACAGAATAACTACCTTGTTGTACAGCTGCCCTTTTTCTATCAGTAATCACTCTGTCTTGAGAAATGGAAGCCTGTATTTGTCAGTGGTAGCAGAACCCGTGTCTGTGAACAAGTGATTGCAACACAGCAAGAACTGAATGATAGAAGTGGTGTTGATAGCTCACCTGCTCACAGTTAATTGCAGCCTTTTCTGGAGAAGCCTGAAATCCTAGTGGACAGATGACATCACTGCCTCTTTCTTTTTTCCCCACTATTTACCTACCACATCTATAAATTACAGAAACTCTCAAAGGCAGCCCTGCTCTGTTTTTTGCAAAGGAGTGACATTCCCAAACACACCAGCTCCCTTTCAGCATTGCTGCACTGTTGGATTCACCCAGTTTAGAAGCTCCCACTGCAGTATGTTTTGTGATTCCTGTTAGTCTGGTTTTCTTAAAATCTCCAAACTCGAAACCCAGTGTCAAATGCTGGCATTCCTGGCACTCCTTTCATGGTGATTGAATGCTGAGGATTTAAAAATTTCTAGCTGTCATCATTGCAGTAGTGCATTTGCTGCAAAGACTTGAAGAGTGTAAAGAGCTGGGCTAAATATATTCAAATGCACTGTTGGAAAAATACATTTTTAAGCTGTTGTTGTGAACATGGAGTGCTTGATATCTTGGTTTGTTTGGTGGGTTTTTTTCAGCTCTTTATTCAGATATTAGGGCAACTAGCACATTTTTGCACTGATCTTACTAGTCCTAGTGCAGTTACCACACTCCAGATTTTATGGCCATTGATCATGGAAGCTGCATTACCTTGCCAACAAACAATTCCAGCAGGCGAGGAAGAGGAGATTATTTTATTTTTTTTTTTTTTTTGAGGAAGATTTTTTTTTTTTTGAGGAAGAAGAACTGAACAGCTTCTGTCAGGATCATTTTAAAAGTTTGAAAGCAGTGACATTTGGATGAAGTTGTCAGAGTGGATCTGATCAGATGTAGCAATCAGGGAACATGCACCTGTAATCATGTCATGTGTCATGGGAATGAGTATTGCATCATCTAAGGTTTCTGGAGGTGCAAGCTCCATTAATTCTGCTTTCTCCTTTCCAGGTGTGCATTGGGTTGTATGCAGTACCTATTTCAGGAAGACTATATTTTATTTATCCTAATTTCATAAAACTCCTCTACCATATTGTTGCTGTTTTGCCTACATGAAGTGAAGGCTGTTATTATTTGATTGTAGTTCTCCAAGTTGAAAAATATCTTGTATGTTTGATTTTATTTTTTTTTTTTTTTACTAGTGAAGCTTTACTTTGTGGTTGCAGTGGAATGTTACCGTTAGTCAGCTATCAGGAGAGGTATTTTGAAGTATGTGATGTACAGGACTGTAAGTCTTCTGGTTTCACTTCTTTGTATGCACAGATCTGTAGCTCAAATCTACTGCTTTTGCCTTTTGCAGATTGATTTTGAGTCATCTCCTCTTTATCCAAAGACCCCCCCCCCCAAAAAAAAAAAACAACCAAATCAAAAAAAGACAGAAATTTTCTTCTTGGACAAGCATCAGAAATTAATTATGCGTAGCTCCAGTGAATAACCAGAATTAGTGTAGGGATTAATTTGGCCAATATGTGAGTCAACACATGCAGGACACAGGAACAACCGCAAAACCACAGATGAAATGCAAAGAGTAAATTTATTCTTATTACCTTACAACCTGAGCAGGGGCATGCAAGTGGGAATGTGGGCACGGCAGAGCTCTGTCCTTGCTCCCAGAAAGAGGAGAAGAAAGAAAAAGATCTCGAACCTGCTGCTTTCACTTGCATATATCAGGGATTTTTGCAGGCATAGTTTTCTACTGTGCTTTGATCTTTCCCACAGTAGAGCAGGAATGTACAGAAAGGTGCACTAATGCTGTATGTTTGTTTTTTTCCTAGACCGTGGAGTCATGTTTTTTTGCTATGAAAATTCTTTTAAATTCATTACTGCTGTAAGTATGGCTTTGAGGGGAAAAGTGTTTTTCAGCATTTCACTGTATTTGCTGCATGACTGATGCAGCCTGATATGACTTATCACAACATAACGTCATCAGAAAAAAGCTGAGAAAACGAAAGTGGGTTGCTGGAAGCTACTGAAAACCAGCATTAAGGGCAGAGCAAGAAAAATGCATGCTTTTAAGAAATGTATGCTTTTCTTTCTTCTCTTATTCTCTTCCCACTTAAAAAAAGCTGGCTAATAGGAACTTGGCAAGTGCTAAACTTTTAAATGAGATACTGGTTTAGGATGGGATTTTTAGTGATCAAGCAAAGAAAAAAAATATACAGGATATTGCTTTGGCTCTTTTTGAGGGGGACATTAATCTCTTAATAGAGGAGGAAGGCTAATAATTAACAAAATAACTATGAAGGTTGTAGATTTTAAATGCTCTTGTAGTCTTAGTGATCACTTAAGTTAATTTGAAGGTTGGAAGCATTCATTTGCAGTAGCCTAGCCTTTCA